TGAGTCTTTTTAATAGATGTTTGAATAACATTTAATGATAGGTTCTTGCAAGCTTCATCGACCGCATTCTCTAGCTTATAATTACTATTCGTATATATTCAAGAAAACTTCTTCTGACCGTAAACTCTATATTTACATCAAAAATATGATTCGCAATCATTTTGTCATTGATAGTCAGACTATCCTATCGCCTAGCGGTATAATCAGGAAATCGTGGGTATTAGGGCAAGGGAACTATTACATTTATTCTCTGTTCCGGATGATGGTAGGGCGGTACTCGGCCTAGTGCAGCCTTGATGACGCCATTACCCTCGCGCATTCATCTTAGTTTCAGTTTTCCTGACGAAAATGAATTTTTCTTGTAGAGAACTTAATAACGATATAAAAGCTTCTATTAGAAACAGTACAGAAAGTATTCATCTCTCTTCAATCATAGTCAACATACATGAGCAATAGTTTTAGTCAATAACCTGAAAATCTTTTATAGGATTTCATTGTACTAATTACAATCATTTCAAATTGACCTAGAAAATTCTCTTAAGGTACCCAAGATCAATGTCTAATTCATAGAAAAAAAAAAGAACAACTGTTAAATTTGTTTAGAATAGAAAAATATCTCAATAAATAAAATTGCTTTGAACGAAAAAGAAACTTGGTAGATTTTATTTTCGATGATATAATAAAAACGCAGAGAATGACAAATATAGGGACTAAATTAAAAACAAAAAAAAAAGGCACTATTATTTATCAGATATTAATCACTGTTCACCACCAGCATCATCTTCAACATTCGTTGGTTCTTCTTCTCGTTCGTCACCAGCTTCATCTAAACAAAAATTTTATTTTATTCTTTTTTGAAAATTATCAGAACAGAAAAAAAACTTTACCAATTAGTAAGGCATTTGTTTCTACTCCATCATTTATATTATTTTCCATGGTAACAGTTAATTCTCCCGAACCTGATTCTGGTTGTTCGATATTTTGTTCTAAATCATGTCCAACATCGCCCGTTGATGTTCCCATGTCAACACCACCACCTTCAACTGCCTTTTAATTAACAAAAAACAAAAAGAAAATATTATTTTTTTTATAATAAATAAATATAAAAAATAAAACTTGTATAAGTGCTTCAGCCAATTTTTCATAATCATCAATTCGTTGATTAACAACATCTCGAATAATTGAATCAAGGATAGTTCGTCCGAGAACTAATTGATTAACTTGTGTCATTGTCTTATCCATTAACCATGGCATAAATGATGTTTCAATTTCTAAAAGAAAAAACAAAAAAAAAACATCTTTTTTATTTTGTTTGAAAATAAAAAAAACGAATACCATGTTCAACAGGATCATAAAAGTATCCATTTTCTCTTAAATTATTAAATACACTTGGTACAAGATCTTGTAAATAAGCTTTAGCAAAAGCTCTAGCAGCTATTTTTTGTGCAACATCTTGTTCTGATCGAACTGCTTCTTGTGCTTGTTTCATTCGACGATCTTTTTCAGATCTTAAACGTCTTTCTTGTTCTTCTAATCTTTGTAATTCAATTAATTCAGCATTACGTATTTCTTCATATTCTCGTTGTTGTTCACGGATTTCAGCTAGTTCTTCTTCTTCAGCAACTTCAATTAATGCTTGTTCAACTGTTTTACCAATTAATGTTTCAACAATTGGTTTGACTTCAAGATCAAAATCAAATAACTAAAAATTTTATAATTAGATTTAACAAAAAAAAACAAAGGAAAAGAAACGAAAAGAAATTTACATCGCCTGTTTCAATTTGAGTAGATATATCTTTGCCAGTTGATTGTGGAATAAATAGAGGTGATGGTGGTCGATCAAGAAATGCATCTGTTTGAACATCAACATCTGCTTCTTCAATTCGATCACTATTATCAAATAAGTTAATCACATTTTTTTATTTAATACAATCAGATTATCACACGATTATATTTAGGGAGATACTAATTTCTAGAACATATTATCTCAACATAGTGAATGTGTTTTTGTAAGCAGGAATTAAACTAATTCTTTGAATTTCTAATCGGAGTCAAGAATATCTCCAGTATTGAAAACTGTCAGACTCTTATTAATTCTTCATGCCAGTTGTAATCAGTCTTGATTCGAATCTATTTTTAGGTTTTGTCTAATATAAAATACATGTCTCAAAATCATTTGAAATTGGTCGAAAAAAAAAACTTAAAAATGTGAATTTTTGATCAATTTCAAAACCTTGGTTTTGTATTTCATGAAATTCAATTACAGTTTCTGATAGAACAATCAAAGTTGATCACGATTGATATAAACAATCCATAGGAATTAAATTGTTAATTAACGAAAACAAAAAATCTCTTCTTTGACATCATGTGCTCAGTTCCATTTTGATTCACTCATACCTTATTCGATAGATTATATTGAGATAAGGAAAAAATTTTCAAATCTTTGGACTCATGGCCTACTCACGAATAGTTATGACTGTAAAAAGCGAGATTTCAATACTTCTCGTTAGTTGAGTAGCTATACGTAATCTTTGAATGTAAGGAAATGTTTCTTTGATTCCTTTAAATGATAAATACATTTTATATTGAAATATCTGATAATCAAGAAAAAATCTCGAGAATGAAGTTTTATTGATAAATAAAAAGTATTTCAAAGTGTACAGGTAAAGTTGCTTGAATTCTTTATTATACAGATTAGTGACAAGTTGAGAAAGTTAAAAGTGATCGATCTTCTCTTTTCATATTGTTTTGTTGATATATTTTAAGTAAAAAAAAGACAATAAATGTGCTCGGGATTTGTCATTTTATCTAATTATTTCAAAGAAATATACATATAAAAATTCTTTATCTCATAGAATAATATATTTCTAAATCTATCTATAGAATTCTATGAAAAGAATTTACCCGTACTAACATCAAATGAAAATAATATTCAATTTCTGATTAATGATATCAATAGGTTTTTGGTAATCCTCAAATTTAATCTCTGTATAAATAGAAAGGAAAATGTATAAGATGTTTCAATATAAAGATTTCAAAGATGAAATGTAAAATCTAGTGAAAATATTCACCTAAGTTCTTCAAGATAAAGTTCTGTTTGTACATCAATATTTTTTCGATTATGTACAGGATCAGGTGTTCGTGTTCGAATTTGTTCTCGAGCCTTACGTCTTGCTAAAGCACGTCGTTTAGCTTCTTGTTGACGTTGAACTTCAATTGGATCTGGTTGTGCATGCTATCAAATATAATATTATTGTTTTTATTGAAAAAAAAATTTTTTTCTTTTTTAATTAAAATAACTCACAGCGGGAAGTGTATGAAGAGCATAAGTGTTACCACGAATAACACGACGATCATACATTAAATTTCCATATACATTTGTTTCTTCTCTTTATAAAAAAAAAATATTTTATAGAAATTAAAAGTAGATTTTCAACTTATTTTAAACTTACGATGGATTAACAATTTGTTGTCGAAATTTTTGTCGTTGTCCTTGTTGTTGTTGAACTGCTTTAGGTTGACTTGAAAATGTATAAGTTGAATTAGGTGGTTTAACAAGTGTTGCAGCCATTTTAAAAGAATAGCTATTAATTATACTAAAATAATAAATAAAATGATGATAAAAATTAAAAATTAACGACGAAATATAAAATCATGCTGATTGAATAACAATCAGAAAACAAAACATGTTGTATGAGTATGTGTATTATACTCAACAACCACAGTTCACAAATGACAAGACATCACTATTACTGTTGTTACAGTAGAGACTTCATCTATAAATTTTTATTTAATTTTACCTTAGAAATATTTTAAATAAAATCTTATTAAACAGATAAAAATCATGAGCATTTTCAATATTTTAATTTAAACCAAGAAAAAAGAAAAACGGTTTTGTACTATTTGATAGCGTCCTCTATCACTCTCCTTAAGTGGATGAATAATAGAAAACTATTTTGATATTCAGATTTTCGTCACTCTCTCTAAAGTTAATCCAAGGTAAACCAAAAATATACGAAATATTTAAAACAAATAGAACAATTTAATAGGGGAAAACCATTAGTATTCATTCTCATTCTTTTTTTTTTCTATCAATCTTTAAAAAATCATTTTTTTAGCTAGACAATAAATTCTTATGATACATGAGTAAGATCAAGTATTACTATCACTTCAAACATAGAAGCAGAAGAAATCAACCACAAGCAAATGTTATCATACATGTAGAACTCAAAGAATTCTTTCAAATTTTCAACTGGGAATGAGGAGACTATATTGAACTAGAGAAGTTAATACTGTAGAGAGGCTGAATAGTTAGGAAAGAAACAGTGAGGTGGATAGAGCCCGTCGGGTGCAAGGATTTTTGGACCCGGGCCCAATTATTTAAAAATTTTATACCCGGACCCGCTTGTTTAAAAAACGTTGGATCTGGACCCGGCTGCTTAAGTTTTTTAGGTCCAAACACAATGACAAATCGGTTTAGATAGTATAGTCAACAAGAGTTTTGTTATATTTTATCTATTTTCTAAATAAATTTCATTTCTTTTTTTTCATAAAACGAACAAAACTTTTAAAAAATTCAAACCATATTATGTGTATCAAAGTTTCCTTCAGACCCGGACCCGATCAAAGCAAAATTTTTAGACCCGGGCCCGAACCCTACCCGACGGCCTCTGGAGGTAGATCAAGACTGAGTGTGAAGGGTAAAGTCAGCACTGAAGAGGATAAATATGAAAGAGAAAAATTCTGAGTGGTATCAACAATTAAGTTGCCAAGAAGACAGATATAGTGAGACAGTTCTGGTGAATAAAAGTTTAATAGTCGGAAAGTTGAAAACTTGAATAATCAACAATTCGGTAGAATAGTTGAAAACTGCAAAAACAAATTTCCGCTCGAATTGAGTTTTTGAAATTTGCACTACTGCTCCTTCATTGTAATGCATTGAATTTTTATAAATGAATCTAGTTTCCTTCATATTTTATTTTAATAATCGTTTACAATAATCAACCTATATTTATCTGAGGAAAATAGTCTTTCATATGTTCAGTAATTTCAGGTCCATTTGGTATACATAAATAATGGACTTTTGCACAATTGATTCGTGTTGCATGTCTTGAGAAATTTTCTGTAACTCTTTTCAGTGCTTCATAATCAACAAAAAGATAAAGTTTATATGGCAAATATGTTTCTGTATCAATCAGGAATTGTTCGATGTAATCATCATGAGCTTGATCAAAATATAGGTTAGTCAGATGAAGATATTTAATAATTGGTAAGTCTTGATTGTCTTTCTTTGATTGTTTATATAATTTATTCTTTTGTGGTTTATTATTATTTATAGTTAATTTTTTCATAAATGGAAATGATTGAGCTATCTGAAGAAAAAATTCATATTCAAATGGACGTTCATCAAATAACGATACATTATCAACATATTTAAATAATCCACCTGGAAAATTATTTGTAATATTATCATAATATTTCATTCTATATGAATATGAATAAATATGACAGTAACTAAATTGATTTTCTTCGAAAAAGTCAGCACAAGAAATAATTTGATTATCTTTAAAATCTTTGAATGTATGTTTAATATCTTCATTTGAAGGTAAATTCGTTTGATTAGGACGACGATTGGTTAAACGAATATTAAATGTAAATTGAATTAATCGTGGCATATTATTTATAATATTTTCTTTTAAATCATTTCCATCAATAAATCCTTTATAACGATCGACTTTAAGATGTAAGTCTAGTTCTTCTAAATTTAACATTCGATGTAGAAGTGGTAGAATGAATTCATCATAATAATGCACACGCATATCAGAATATAGTGAAAAACATCTTAAATTAGGTAATTTTTCCTAGAAATTAGAGAATAAATTTCAATTTATTTTGATAGATTTATTATTAATCTACCTGACGATAAATATTTGAACTTCCGTGTTGAATGCGATAAATATTAACATGAAATCTACGTAGTTGATTAAAACGTCCATCAAGTAAATAAAGCAAATCATAAAAGTGAAACACAGTTATATGTAATTCTAATAAACTTGAAGAAATAACATTTGGAGATGGCATATCAAATGAAAATCGTTGATGCCACATCAAAGATGGACCGAAATTTAAATATTCTAATTTGGTAAATATATTAAATATGTGTAAACATTAATTTATTGACATCATTTGATGGAATCCATTTTTTATCGCTACAAATATAAAAAAAAAGTGATGATATTTGATTTTTCACTACATGAATAAAAGTAGTGTCGTCTAAAAATAAAGAAAGAAAAAGGTCTTCAAAAATCAAACTAATTATGTAACATACAAATTCATATTTAGATTCCTAAATGATCTACTCGAATATATTATTAATATATTAAAGCAAATTATGCTGAATTATTCAATTATTGACAATTAAAATAACACACCGGTAAAGAGATATATAGCTTTTTCTACATCAATACCATATAAACCAAGTCCATATAAATTAGGATAATTTCCAGCAAGAAGAATACGTTCCATAGATTTTGATTCAAGATTAAGCCATTTTATTTTATGATCAATTTCAGGTAAAATTTGTGAACAAAATCGATTAACCATTGAATCAGATAATGAATGAATGTATTTATCCAAGAAATATAATGTTAAATTACTTGTAAAAACTGAATCACATGCAATTCTATTAAGTCGTTTATTAACACCTATTAAAGAATAAAGTACTTCGACATTAGACAATTTTTTCAAGATAATTATGAGAATCTCATCCGGTAAATCATCTAATTTAATTGACAAATGTTCCATATTAATTGTGACTCTATGTATTGTTTTCACTTGTGGACGTTAATATTTATGTGCTTATTTCAGTTATTTGACCGATGTCGTCAATGATCGCCAATAAGAATAATAATATACTTTTTTTTTCTGGTCTGAATCAACAATGACCAATTAATTGAACGAATGAAAGTTTTGTGAATGAACTAGGGGTGGGAAGTTACCGTTACGTTACCAAGTAACTAGTAACTCGCAAGTTACTAGTTACCGAGTAACTAGTAACGTCGGAGTTACTAGTTACTTTTGGTAGGTAACTTGTCTAAAAAGTGGAGATATTGCTTCCTAATGAGTGAATACCATCATTACAGTACTTATTCAGCTCACGAGTTACCGAGTAACTAGTAACGCACATAGGAGTTACTAGTTACCAAGTAACTCGTAATTTAATTGAGTGATGAATAGATGATATTCAGTCATTAGGAAGCGATATCTCGACTTTTTAGACAAGTTACCTACAAAAAGTAACTAGTAACTTCGAAGTTACTAGTTACCTGGTAACTGGTAACTCCGGCGTTACTAGTTACTCGGTAACTAGTAACTCAAAAGTTACTAGTTACCCGGTAACGTAACTCCCGGGTAACGGTAACTTCCCACCCCTAGAATGAACAAATCCTTTATATGTAACTAGAAATTTTATATTAACACAATTGAGACGTACTGCATCAGTGGTAAAATTATTTTTTTTTTATTTTGCTAATAACTGATGACCATTGTCATGGTCTTTACAGTACATGAGTTGAGAGGAAAAAAAAGGTAGAAAAGCGTAGTATTAATATAGAAAAATAAGAATGAGTTACAGATAATTTAGGAGATAGTGTATTCAATTCTTTTCTTTAAATGTTTCTAGGAACTCATATAAAGTGACGACTTCTTCTGAATCATAATTAAGATTTGAAGGGAGGCTTGCGCATCAGGAAGTACATTTATCAAGAAGTGATATAAACTCGACATATCTTTTGAATCGATTAATCCCATATAATTAATTTATGAATAAAAGAAAAGTCTTGAGAAATTATTTTGAGTAATTTATGTTCAAATGAACCGTTTATCATACATTAATAATATTCGAACTTTATCAAATTTTTCACCTTGAAAACGATTATCCATATACAAGAATTCGTCAATTTGAGATGAAAGTGAATAAACATAGCAGTTGATTCTAAGATTGATAAGTTTATCATCGGTATATGTATCAATTAATTGAAGTTCTCTTTTAATGTGAACCTATTCCGAATAACATTATTCAATGGAAGATCAATTTTAATGTCATAGTTAAAGTAATTCCAGTGTATATACTGAAGATAAATTTGTTTAGTTGTGGCATATAATTAAGAACTTCATCGTATAATTGATTACCATCGATATAAGTTGACTCAGTTCTTCTTACGTGAAAGTAGTAATATTAATTGTTCAATATTTCACATTTGATGAAGTACCCATGGAAAATAAATTTTGAACAAAAACCGCGGTAATCATCGGTTTTTCTAGGAATATCTGAGCCAGAAAACCGGACTCAGTAATACCTAAACCCACTTGAGCTTTTCTCAAAGTTCAGGCGAGTTACCTTTCGAGGGATAGTGTAGTGAACTTTATCAAGTTCCATTACAACAAAATCGCTTCGTTATGAAAGATAGAATAAGAAAATGTGTTTAAAATTTCTCGAAAATAGCTGGGCACGACACCCTCGTTGTCCTTATATATTCTGTCAGATTTCAATAGATACTAGATGCACTGCGGTTCCTGAAACCGGTGGATACCGCAGTGGCATCGCGATATTTCAAAATCCATAGATAGCACAATTAATAGGGGTGACCCATCGTCTTTAAATATTTTCTATCATAAAGGATAACTATTAACAAATCGTTTATCTTCCGAAAATAAATATAAATAGATGATCTAGCTTAAAAAATAAACGATAAAGATTTTTGTGTGATTAACTTTATTTTTTAAATAATAAATTACCTTTTATATAATATTTTTTACTTGTCCTCATGATGTTATTTTTGATATTTTTGTTCAAATAGAATAAAAGCTTTATTATCACGTTTCAATAATCGAGGTTGTTTTCTTCAGATGACATGCAAGAATATACAAGTGATGTTATTTTTCTTTTTCTCTGTTGTGATCATATCGTATTGGGATAGAACGACATTGAAACCTATTAGGAGAAATTGACTATCTGTCTTTTTCTTCCGTCATACGATTAAAGCAACTCAAAAGAAAAAACAACTGCTATATATTCCTATAATACCCATTGAATACTAATGATTTGCTACTATTTGAACGGACGAGGGAAGGTTTCCAACTTAAGAACGCTGTTCGACTTCATATTCTGACTACGAGGTAGGTCGCTATAAGACTAAGAAAAGTCTAAAAGGATTTATGCCGATAGCCTATTGGTGAAGAGTTATAGCCGTTCTACTGAATTTTGGACCTGTGGCACCGGACTTACGAAAAGATCGAATTAAACAATTTCGACCTGAAATTTTGCTCATAGATAGGTCTAATGGTTATTAGAATTGCCTGAAAGTTTCAGCCAAAGAGAATGTTCCTTTCTCGAGATATTCAACTGTCAAATAAATTCACTTTTTGTGACCTGTCTGTGAAAAGTGATTATTTTTTGATAATTCAATATCTCGAGAAAGGAACATTCTTTTTGGCTGAAACTTTCAGGCAATTTTAATAACCATTAGACCTATCTATGGGCTAGATTTCAGGTCGAAATTCTTTAATTTGATCTTTTCGTAAATCCGTTGCCACAGGCCTAAAATTCAGTAAAACGGCCATAACTCTTCACCAATAGGTCATGGGTACAAATCCTTTTAGGCTTTTCTTAGCCTTATAGAGACCTACCATGTAGTTATAATATGGAGTCGAACGGCGTCCTTAAACTGGGTACCATCTCTCATGAGTACGTGTTTAAAACTACAATAACCGAATATCTTCTCGAAACTTTTTAATGAAAGATAATTCTTTAGTCATAGGTGTTGGTAATACTTTGAAAAGATATTATAAAAATAGAACTTGTTTGTCAAAACAAGAATTGGTGTATGATGCAAGACTAATCATCCCCCATCGAATCACATTATAATATTAGATATTAGACGCATGACAATAACTGTTTATTTATTTCATTCGGGAAATGGTCATAGTACACAAGTATACAAAACTAAAGAGAAGGTTTAAAGCAAAAAGTGGAAGGACATATAAAAGAAAAACACACGTCACAATGTATTGGTAGAAAAAAAGTTATTTCTACATCATTCATTATTTGATATATTATTTGTTTTTTTATTTTATTTTTTCCATGTACCTAAAACAAATCAATGAAGATTAATAAAAAAAAAACAATAGAATAATGACAAACCAGTTTCATAATCCCATTTAGCTGAAAGACCGGTCATAGGACCTTGTCGAGCAGCAATATGATATTGTAATTGTTTCTTTAATTTTTCCTCACCGAAACTATCTGGTGTTTCAAAAGGATAGGCTAAAATGATTTACATATTTAAAAAAAATCGATATCTTAATATAAAATAAATTCATACCAACACGTCTCCATCCATCATAAGCTAGAATGAGACCTGCTAATGCAATTAAAGTCCATCCCATAGTCCATTTCCAAATACCGGATGGAGCTGTAAATTCTTCGAATGTTTGACGAAAACTTGCTCGATAAACTAAAATAAAAATTTTAATAAAGAAATAAAATCTAAAAAAAAACCAAAGGTAAACATACGTCGTTTTTTGTCTTCAGTTGACAATTGTTTCCAATCACCTTTTTCTTTTTTTCTTAATTCAGCAATTTCTGATGTATCAGCTTCCCAACGAATACTTGGACATGGAAACATAACTAAATCAAAATATTCTGGTTTGCCTTTTAAACCATAACCAACTATTTCACGATTTCCAATACGTGGATGCATTCTCATACGATCAGCATCTAATGGTGGTGGTGGTTTTGTATTATCTAATACAATTGGACTTTGTTGTATAACAGATTTACTTCCTGCTGTTGTTGTTGTTGTTGTTGAAGCATTTAAACGACATTGATATTGTAGCATCGAAGTTACTTGAGGATGAGTTAATTTTACATGTCGAAGGAGAAGATTATTCATCCTTCTTTAATAAATGAATTTTTAATTCGATATATCTATGAGAAAAAAAAAACATTTAATCTTCAAAAGAATATCAATAACTGACACCTATTTATAAATAGAAAAATCCAAATGTAGCCAAAAAGAAAATAAGAAATAAATAATAAACCACAATGGCGACATCATTTTGTATTCAATTGATCCATCAAAATCAACCAATGAAATCGAGTACTTCAGCCTTCCTTCAAGAGATTTTTCCCAGCAGCATTTATTATTTTTTTGAATATTCAAAATAAAAACAAGAAAAAAAAATTCTTAAAATAAATCTTCTTCAATATGAAGAAATTATTTAAAAGATATGGTTGAGTGACAATCTACTCATTCACATCTACATGCAATAATAATATGTTACTCATTTATTCGGTCACACACATCAAAATAAAATGCAGAAAAAAAAAACGAAAAGACAAACAAATTTTCTACTGTTGACTTTTGTTAAAAATTTTTTGTTTTTTGTTTTTTTTGTTTTTGCTTTTAGATCAATAGTTATGAAAGAATATCTACGCATATCATTTCTATTTTTCTATATGGTAACTTATTCTTCGGCAACTCTTGTCGATGGAATTGTCACAATTTCTTGGGATCAAAATGAACAAGTTCCAATAATTGATCGTTTTTTAACAAGTGATACACAAATTCAATTAAAAATTCTTTGTCGTGAATCATCATTAAATACAAGTGTAACAAGAGAACTAATTAAAAAAAAATTATATAAATTAAATGAAAAAGTTACAGATACAAATATTATAATTCGTGGTCGAATTGGTCGTGTTGTTGGATGTTTACCAATGCAATCAGATCCATTTATATCTA